GACACAAAACATGAAGATCAGTTACGGCAACGGTTCTTCAATGAATCATGATTTCAGGCACTTTGAAGTATAAAGATGATTATAATATGGTTGAATAAAATTGTGCAATTTGATTGGGGTGGTACTAATCCTTAATAGTGATATTTCAAAAATTTTATTCAGGCATTTTATAAAACAAATTATAGCATGTTTTGTACGTGGAATTTGTGATAAATAACACTTGTGATTATCTACGCGTGGTGTTTATCCCAAATACCAGTACAAAAAATGCTATTACCTATGCATATTGCGGGAGAAAAAATGACAAATCAACGAAAAATAATGAAATGATTTATTATATACTATCAATTTTAAATCTATTTACATTTAAAGAGTGCTTAGCTAAGCGAAGCACACAACATTTTTTATTTACAATTAAGGAGTGCTTGGCAGTAGGCCAAGTACACAAGATGTCCCTTCCAGCAGATATGATTTTTATTTACATGTAGAGAGTGCTTGGCTGTAGGCCAATCACACAAGATTTTTTATTTACATTTAACGAGCACTTTGCTAGGCAAAGCACACAAGATTTATTGCTAATTCAATCACTATTTTCCTACAATGCAAAATATGAAAAGTTGTCGATCTAAATCCTAATTTCTGTCTAGAATYATTCTTACAATTATGTTAAATAACAGGTTCTTAGAATATTACAAGCTCAGGAGATTCAAACCAGCTTACTCTTTGACGTTTGCTATCGACGGCACTGATGAAATCACGGCGTTTTCTCTTCCTTGAAGAGGAAGTAACGTCACATGTCAGGTTRGAACACGTGATTGAACTGTCAGCATCGTCATGATCAAATAGATCAAATAGATCAAACTTGWCTTCTTGTTCCGTCTCTGAGAATAGGAACATATCGGGCACATATTCATCCCATGGTCCTTGGGGTGTAGCAGGCATTTTCTCATCACCTGACACACCCTTGGATGGCTTACTCACAGCGCTTTTTGTCCCAGAGCTCTGCTGACTAACACTTAATGTCTCGGGTTCAATATTGTCAAGAAATTTCATGAGCTCTGAGAATTCATCACTGGAGAGCCCTTCATTGACATCAGACGGAACCTCGCTAGGGAGGTACATCTTTATCATGGAGTCAATGTCTATATTGCTATACATGTCTTCTAAAAGATCTTTGGTATCCGATAGGTCAAGGCCAAAGATCTCGTCAAGACTCTCTTGGTGTAMCTATAACAAATAATGGTACATTATATTAATATCATAATCAATCGAAGGTCGCTTCCTGATTGGCTATATATAGTTTGTTTGATAATTGCGAGGTTTGCGCCGTTTACACAGGCGATTTTAAGATTTTAATGTCGCGCGACGGTCACACTGCAAAGATCGCCAGTGTAAACGCGCTATTGGGTGACGTACGATTAGAATAATAATTACCTCACTTTCACCTGCACTTCTTTTCTTTTCCAGATTGTCTGCCACTAGTCTGACATTCTCACTGCATGGCTTAGCACAAACAGTTTTGTCAGTTGACTTAATTTCTGTGGCAGCAGCTTGCCTTTTTTCAAAGCGTTTCTCATGTGCAAAAGCAKTWTGGARGACTGATGCTTSGGAAAGTGGATTTGACTTCGGAATAAACGCATCTTTTACCTGTGAAATTGGTCATATGTTTAAGAAAATATAGGCAATAGCAACTTTGCAATCACATGTGAACAAGTTGAATATCAAACGCGATTGTGATTATTAAGCTGTGGTGATGAAAATAAATTAAGTATAATGACTTTAAAGAAAGAATGATATATAGCTACCTTATCCATACTTGGGTCATCCATACTTGAGTTATCATATCGTACTGATGGGAAAAACGATTGAAGCCTCAATTCAGTCATGAGAGATTCATATGAACTGTAGTCACCTRAAAATAAAAGACATAAGAATTATTATCTTGTATCATGCAATGACTTATGACTTCATCCCCTTCTCTCCGGAACGTAAACCTCACTTATCAACAGTTATGATCTGTAGATAGTTGTCAATTCTATATTATATTTATGAAAGTGTTAATTCACACAAGTTTATCACAACTTACATGACTTAGCAGCTTTAGTGCTTACGATTCCAGTATTGCCTCGGGTGAATGGGGATACAAGTTGTGGTAATCCTCCATTCTGTTTTACTGGAACTGTAGACGATTTTTGAAGTAATGTAACATTCTTACGTGCTGTATCACGTGAAGCTACAACTTTGTCAGCTGATGGCCTGCCTTTTCTAAGAAAGGCTATTATCGCCTCTAAAGAGGCTTGGCTTTTATCCTAAAAAGAAAAGAAATGCATGTTTCGAAAATGTTACTCTGAATACATAGATATTGTTGATATTTGTGTGCGGTTTCTTAAGTGTTTTCTGTACMTTACACATTTCAAAATAAGTGATACTAGTACTGATGTGTAAGGTATGGAATGCAAAACTAACCTTAGATTCGCCAAGCGAAGCTTTAGTTGGTGTCGCTTGTGAATTGGTAGCTTTACTACCGCGACTCCCAACACTAATATATAATCAAAGAAGATTTGAGCTTAAAACTAACTACATTAGATTGGAACATGTCATTCGTAACAAAGAATCCCACTCACGTAAACACAGAGGTGATTTGAGCCATTATCAAGTTTTATTTTGTATTATTCGTGATTTGAGCGTTTCAGACGTGTTTTACAGGTTTGACCAGTCAACGGTTTTTTGCAAAACTGARARGGTTGTCTTGGAAATGGGAGTTTTATTTACCAAAACGATCACGTGATGCTGACGCCAGCAATCCCATGGTTCAGTGCACTATTGACGTTGCTATGGTAAATAAGTGGTGATTGGTTAATCGGTAGAAATCGTCATCATGCGGAATGCGCGCGACCTAACAATGAGGACGTGCGCAACAACCTCGTTCCCAGGGCTACTCTCTACAGAACACAGGCATCCCAAGTACATTGTCCTCAAGGTTATCGAATATACAAAAAAATGATAATTAGATAATTAGCATGCGATAAGTCTTTTCCTAAAATAATTTATAATAGAGGTGTGCAAAATTAAAAATGCGAAAGAAAAACTACTCAAATCCTCTATTCAGTAATTTTATTAACTTTTTTTTAAACTTAAAAGCACTTATGAGTTGAGTAGAATTTTCCAAACAGGAAGAAGTCATTTTTTTGTGCACTAGTATCTATAGAAAACAATCTACACAAAATCTGATTATTGTTTTAGATTATATTGCACTGAATTCGAATTGAAAGCCGGACTAATCCGGTATGCCTGTGTTCGACTCAYTCAAAGGACCCTGGGCACCAGAGAGAATAATAACATGTTCAGAATGTCGTGAAAAAATTGTGTTTGTACTTTGGTTATTACTTTGATCTTCAGTATTTTAATTGTATCATGGGATTGTTCTGCTCTAGAGTTTKTCCAGGTTCAGTAACAGTAAATGGCGTTCGTTATCGGGTAGTTCGTGATCTTGGGGAAGGAGGTAAGCACGACTAGATCAGCTGATTCAACTGCATGATAAATGGATTCGATCTACAGAATGATGTTTTTTTTTCTTTTGTAAAGAGTTCCTATCGTTCCTATCCCTTCTTATTCATTACTGGTGATTGAAATAATTATTTGTTTACGAAAGATGTTTTTTATTACATCAATTACGCTTATATCAAAATTTAACAAAGTTATAAGATTTTTATTTTTAAATTTTGAATAAAAAACTTAAGCTGAAGCTTAATTTATATAAGCTTACTATAACTTAGCCATGTTTATAGCTTAACTTAACAAAATTTGATAAAAGTGATGTTTATTAAATTTAAAAATCATGTAATTCATCTAAAGTACTATCATTGTCTTGATAATTTGTCTGTAGCCTTTTCTTATGTGAATCTTGTGAAAAGAGGTAATCATTACTATGCATTGGTAAGTTACCTAAATTATACTTGTATTTCAGCACTTGTTATTAGAACACATTCTTCTATCAGTTGCTCCTCCCCCGCTGACCCCTCAAATCAATCAAAAGTGAAGTTTCATACATGACTCAGCAATTAAATAATGCCAAATTATTAATATTTTCATGCTTTTGGTATGTACAACCTCTTTGTCCATTTTTTTGTAATATAGTTTAAGAGGCATTCATAAGTAACAATGGTGTTCAGGGGTAGATCCAGCACTTTTCAAGGGGGAAGGAGGGCTGTCAGCAACTGCAATAGTTCATCAACTTACTTATCTTCAATAGAAATGCGATTGATAGTTTAAAATGACCACAATTAAATGTGTCTTGAGGGTTATTTTATTTTTGTCTTTAGTTTTTTGATGTCTTTTTGTATATGATACTGTAGTTAAAAAGGGCAAAAACAAAAGGGGGATCTCTGGTACCTTTGCTTACCTACCTCCTTAGATATGCCCCTAATGTTCAAAGGGTGTTCTACTTCAGTTGGAGATTTGGTCTAAATTTGTTCTATTTTGATTTTGTATAATTTCACATATTAAATGCATTTGCTATAATTAATTTTTGAGAAGCCATAGAAAAACAACATGTGCTTCTGACACAACATACAGGCCCAAGCTACAAGTTGTCCTAATTGCTTATACATGTAGAGATCACTAAAATGGGCTTGCTGGTAGCACCATCAATTATCCCTGGCCAATAATATATGGCCACTATGGCCACTTTTTTCAGGCGATCAAGTTGCACAGTAATAAATTAACTTGTAAGAACTTTGCTGGTTATGTACTTCTGGTTCTCAACAATAATTATCAAATTAAATTTGCAATGGTGACCACTTAAAGTGCCATTAATTCAGCATTAAAAAATGCATTCATAGCAGGAGTTGAAAGCAGGGTGCCTGCAATATCAGTTTGTCCATAAAGGAGATTAACATGTAATTGTTCTTGTTACCAGAAACGAATGCGTTTGCAGCTAAGAGAACAAGAAGAGGTATATGTGAATGATTAATATATTATTTACAAATGGTTCTTTACATGGTCAAGAGACCAATCCAGACAAATGACAGACGGAAAAGTGTCTGGTTTTTGGTCGATGTAGACGGCAAAATGCCTAGCTAACAGTTTTTGTTGTCTGGCTAACTGCGATTTTGTTGTCTGGCTAACTCCTGCAATTTTGATGGCAAATTGACTGATTAACTGATTGACCTACAATTCAGTRTGATGTGTGGCATCTGAAATTATATAAACCATGTAGCTGCAATCATTTGAAAACAAATGTTGGGAGACTGATTGCTTTTATGAGAATGCTACAAACTGATTTCAATCATTTCAGGTGCTCATGATTTTATTCAAGCAACAGAGTGTATAACCAAGTCACATAGCAATACATGTAACACATGAAAAAAAAAGTTTTGCTATTHGGTGAAATATTTAGTTTTGGTGAAATCTAGTTTTTAGGAGAGACTTGCAATTATATTTGATGGCATTCATTTTATTAGCAAAAGCATATTCTTGTGATCCATATTAGAGATCATATTGTATATGTATTTTTAAGCTATGATTACTTAATAGCAATTATAGTAGTATAAARACAGATCTTTTTTAATAGGCATTTGAAAATGAAGCAGCCGCACACAGAGCAGTTGATCATCCCAATGTAATGAAGTTGTATGATGTAGAAGTTATAAACAAGTCCAGCTACAAAGAAGCTCGCATGGTTCTAGAATATTACAAGGTAATCATTTTGCAATTATTTCATATTGTACTACAAGTGTTGAAATATGATTTCTAAAAAAATCCATCTTTACTGTGTTGTGTAATTAATTACATTGAATTACATATTATTGTACATATAGGATGGGACTGTTCAGGATATGATAGAAAAGACATTAGGGTGTGGCAATCCTGCAGCAGAATCCAAAATCCTAAAGCTGTTCAGGTCTGCCTGCCAAGCCATAGCAGCTTTTCATTCCTTATCTCCACCTCTTGCTCACAGGGATATCAAGGTATACAAAATCATAGCCTCTTGTAACAAAGAAAAGCACAAAAAAACCCTTTTACTTCAAAGGGTCTAGTAAAAAGAGGTGTCTGAATGGCGTTGAGTAAGACTGTATGATCATCTGAGAATATTGTTTGGTTTAATTGTATTTTATTATGTGGTAATGATTGTTATCCTGTTAATTTATTTTAGCCTCACAATCTTTTATTGGGACCAAACTGTACTGTGATTGTATTTGACCTTGGAAGTGTAACGAAGGCTCGCTCTTCTATTGCATCAAGGTGATTGCTAAACCATGATCTGTGATAGAACCTAAATGCAGCTGTGATCCACAAAATTAAATAGACCCTTGACCCATGATTAAMAGATTTTAGCTATCCTGAATCCTGATTTACTGTTCATTATTTCACATTATAACTTTTAACAAAATTTACAACAATAAGATTGTGTGATTGACAGAATATCTGAGTTATTTCTGTCAGTTCAAAATGATTGATAAATTAACCTTTTTTAGTTTTACAAATATTGCTCTGAATATCTGTCAGTGAATGATTTTATATGTAGACCRAAGTACAGTAATGAGTATATTAAGCAATTGTTGTCAGCACCTGCGTTTCACTCTCTTAACTCTTACAGACAATGTAGCATTATTCATTTGTTTATTTWTWTTTTTTWTTTTTTWAWCCAYAGGCGTGAGGCTTTAGCACTTCAGGAAATATGTGCTCAACAATGCACTGCTGCATACAGGTAATTATGAATGGAAAACATTTACAATAAAATAGTTCGTTAGTTTTGAGATTCCCTGTTAGTGTACATAATTTATTGAAAGAAATCAATAATATTTATTAACTCTTGCAGTTTCTCTCCTGTCTATACGTCATGTATAATATGAATGTAATAGTGCTCACAAACTTCAATAGACTGGAGGTATAGAGCTAATGGGTAGTGGCAAAGCATTACTATGGCTACATTATCGCTTGATTTTCAGAGGATTTGTCGCTCATTTGAAATTGCAAACGTTACCGGTCATCTTGCCCCATTGCCATCTCGCCCCCACCATCTCGCCCCCACTATTCCRTCTCGCCCCCACCATCTCGCCCCTACTTTGCCATCTCGCCCCACCATCTCGCCCCAATATTATATATACGAAGATTACTGTTGAAATTCACGTAATAATAAGAATTTCGGCTGTCAATTGTGTATAAGTTTCGACGCGACTTGGACGTGAGCRATTATGCCTGACTACGACCAACGATAATAATTCACTTTTGATATTCGATTCAATTTCTCTTGAGTTGTTTGCAGTGAAACTCTAAAAGAAATCACCATGTACGTATATTTGAAGTTAATTTACAAGTATGTCAAGTATTTCTATCAATTCAGATTGAATTCAATGCAGAGCCAGGCTCAGTGAGCATTAACTTGTGTCTGTTATGATATCTTTTTATCATAATTTAATTACTTTTCACAGCTGCAGTCTGTAAATTTGATAAAAATATTCTTTTTAGCCAAATTCAGTCAAATTCAATTAAAAGTATAATAACCTAGAAATTACGACCCACCATCCCTGCATACCATTAGTCCATACTTGAGATAGAGAGAGTGTTGAGAGAAACTGTTGGCTTTAAGGTACAATATTAATACCAACCTGCATGAACAGTGTCTGTGCATGAGAAGTTCTCCTTATGAGCTATTCCAGTTGCTACTGTCTCCATAGTAAAGGAATCATTAGAATCATTTCCAATAAAATCAATAAATCAAAGAAAATTGTATTTTTTATATTGACAGAGCACCAGAGTTATTTGAAGTTCCTTCCCATTGTGAAATTGATGAAAAAACTGATATCTGGTCTCTTGGTTGTACTCTTTATGCAATGGCATATGGTATGATAAAATGGTCTTTTTGTCCTAACCTTTTATCATTAAATACTTACTTCCAAAATGGTGTGAGATAAACATGTGGTATCAGGAAAGCATGAGAAAAGAAGGCCTACAAACATGTCTGAGTGAACTTTCTAGGAAACCATACCTCAAAACTTTGATAAAAACATCGTCGTCCGGTGTCCATTTGTTTGTTTCCTTGTTGTTGTTGTTGTTGTTGTTGTCATTGTTGTTGTTGTTTTGCACAGCTGTTTATTAGCACAAATCAGTTGTCACATAACTTCGTAACAAATATATTTATGTGATATGGACTTAAGTAAGGATGATAACCCTAGTGCTGCATGGTGTASTACACTTGTTGTGTTTCTGATGTCGCAGACACGTGGTGTTGAGCAACGGAGTTCGCCATAGATTAACCACCTTATATAGAGTCGTGAAGGGTATTCGTTAGCTTACTGAACTGCCTGTTACACGTTGATTCACTTGGCTAATGCAGTAAAAACTAGAATACACTTGAAAGAAGCTTTATGGCTAGTTTACTCCGTTCTTTGTTGCTCCTCTCCGTTTGACTTCTGAGACTACACTAAACTAGGTTCATTAGGACGTGGTATAAAAATTGATACTAAATTCTTTGGCTTCGTAAATAGAAAGTGAATAAATTCTTATGCTAATGTACATGCAAGTGCAAGAAAAAGCTAAAATTAGGACTACCGCAAGTAATCATTGTCACTATAGTAGTTAATCACTACGCTGATTGATAAAGTGCAATATGATAACTAGCTATTGAATATAGTTCACATATTGTGTCATTTTTATTTAGACGTTCTGTGGCTTCTTGACAACAATAAATTAAAAAATCTTGACAACAATGTTCTATTAAATAAATAGTATTCAGTATACACATGTATTAAGGATAGATTTAAAATCAATTGATAACTTTCTAAATTCAGATAGAGTAAGCTTTTGATTTTTGTTCAATCAGTTGTAATGCCTGACTAAAATTTTCAAACAAACAAGGGCAAACACAAAGAAAAGACATGATATATATCACAACATTTAACTCCTCCAACTTGGTGGCACATAAAATTATATGAAGTCATGAGTGATCAGGCAGTATATACATATGTGAGGTCTTACTTAAACTGCTTTCACTAATCAAGAATATTTGACGTTCAGGTGAGAGTCCTTGTGATGGATCAGCATTATCAGCTATGAGTGGAAATATTCAAATACCATCAAACATGTAGGTAGTATCATAGTTAGTAGAGGGTAGTATCAACCAGTTTGAATGTGTCAACAATTTTCAGTTTTGCAAGATCACATTCTAATTGTATGAAAATTGTGAGAGATGCATATGAATTCGTCTTATGTACATGTACCAGGATACACAGAGATTGATGTTCTTGAAACCCCCAAGACTTAGTCTTTTTTGAAATTATGAAATGTTGTAGTTATGAACAATAGA